TGCAAAAGAATTAACAGCCTTTGAAAGGAATTAACAAAATCCTGAATGGGATTTTTATTTTCATAAGGAGTGTGTGGTTGTATTTGGAAATCACTAAAATTAACTTTCATGCATTTAATTTTCAATAGAATTCCATGCTTCAAAGGAAACTATTGGGCTGAGGATATGGTAAGAGAAAAAAAAACACGACTCTCTTCACCTGAAAACATTCTTTGCACAACTCGCTTGTGCTTTATAGCAACTTTCAGCTATCACTGCAATGATTTAGTGATAAGGAAGAAAGGTTTTATACCACCACAAGGGTGGTGGGATACCTTGTAAAGACACCACAAATCGCTGGTGTACAAATAGCTACAAGACCACCATTAGCCTCACTCCAAATCCATCCCTTTACATGTATTAGCTATGAAAGCACAAAATGAAGGAAGGGTGGAACAGCATTTCTTCTAAAGGCAGGGAAATGGAAAGAGATGACCTTAGGAAAAATGGGACTTCTCCACTCTCTTCATCTCACCTATTCATATCAAAGTATGGAGCCTTGCATTTTAAGAGGAATGAAAAGGGCTTCACCTCCATAGAAACTCCATTGAAGTTTATTCCTAGGTAGGCCTCAGTGGGGAAAGGCCCTTGGTAGGAAGAAGGCTGCATGTCCAGAACGAGGGGGGTGCCCCGATGGTTTGTAAGGGAAATGAAGAGGATCAGCTCAGAGGTTGAATCAGTGGAAGAGAAGGGAAGAGAAGGGAAGAGAAGGACTCCCGCATCACAAAACTGAACCCAATAACTAGACTTTTCCAACTTAAGAGTCATTAAGCCCAGCCAACAAAGAGCCCCCAATCAGATGGATTTGGCTAATTAAATTGGTGGAAATTGGCAGTATAATACTTCTGGTGTTCAACTGGGTTTGATGCTAAAAAGGAGGGGGATCTAAAAATAGCTCAGCAAACGATAGAATGGGGGTCTATTTTATACTTAAATTTAGAAAATAAAAGTTCGATCTGCAACAGACAAATTTTGGTCTGATCTGTGGCAGCTCAGATCTGTGGTCTGTCACCCTATGTAACTGTTAAGAAAAAAAAGTGAAGCAATAATCACTCTAATCTCACTATAAAACCTGTTCTCTGATAGGCATTAGTGAGTTTTTCTTTGTGCTATCTTTGCAGGAACAAGATCTATAAATTAAATGGGGAGACTTATTTATTACACGAGCAGGTATACAAGCTTTCTAAATACACAGAACTGTTCACTTCAGTGAATCTTATGGAACTAGCAGACTGCCATATGTTTATAGCAAAAATAATTTGGACCTTTAATTGAAATCAGGCTGTGGATAATACGTGGGGACATGCACAAAGAGATGGGAGAGATAAAACAAAGGCAGTTTTAAAATGTAGGTGGAAATAGGCATAAATAAATAAATAACAAAAATTATACATTTCATATAAATTCCAAATGGCAAATAGTTCCCACAGGGTTTCATGGAAGAGAAGAAGAACACAAGGAGGGGAAAGGAAGAAAAAAAAAGGAGGAGGGCGAGGAAGCAGAAGGATTTAATGGCAAACTAATTTCTCCAGCTTCTGGCTCTGGCAGTTCTCATAGTGTGACGCTCTCCCGCCAACATCGTCGCCATATACATTATTTTCCCTATTTATTTCCGTGGAAGCTCCCTTGTCAATGCGCGTTTCTCAATACCCAATTCCTGATTTTAAAGCGATGTCTAATTCCTCGGAATGGAATGCCACCGAATTGGGTAATATTTACTCCCAGGTAAGAGGACGTAGGAAACGGTCCCCAAAATGCCAGAAGCGGCGTTAAAAGCCGGGAAAAAGAGCGAGACCGACCTGTTCCTTAAGCAGTCGCCGGTTTGGCTCCGCACTGGCATTCTTATGCAAAGCGTGGAGAATGCAGTGGTTGCCGGCACCTGCATAGCCCCGCTGTCCTGATCTTTGTTAACAAGCAGCTTCGGGGTATAAAGCAATAAACCTGCCAAATCTACCTGTACGCTAGTTACACCCTAGAAATAAAACATCTTAGGAAACTCCTGGAGACGCCGGAACTTAATGTCTCTCCCCTCGAACACGCTGCAACCCGCCCCCCCCCCCTTCTATACTTTCACGCTTTTCCCACCTATATAAGTAGGCGCATTTTTAAAAGTTGTTGTAGATTTTTAAAGGAACGGGTCGAGTTACCCCCTTCTCCGTGTGAGAGTGGAGCCCTTGTTAAAGGAGGCGAGGACAAGGCAAGGCACTCGGGAGCTGCATTCAGAGTTATTGAACCGACCCCAGAAGCTCGAGGAGTTAAACGGCGAGAAAGAAAAGCAGTGGGGTGAAAGGGGGGTGGGGTGGAGGAAGCCTCCATATACTCTGAGAAAGACACACCGCGTTGATTGTCCCGCGGACAAAATGCCCTGCAACCGAATCAGGACTTTTCTTTGCCAGCCACAGTTCACATCAACCCCTGTTTACACAACGCAAAGTGCAAAAAAAAAGTAAAGCTCTTTTGGAGCTTGTTTTTAAGGCTTGTGGTGGTCAGCAAGATGTAGGTAAGATCAGGAAAAAAGAACGAGAGGGAAGAAAAGGGGGAGCTTTACTTTAGTATCTTAAATCGGGAGGGGGGGATTAATCTCTCTACAAAGTGGTAGCATGCATTTTCTTGGTCTGAATAGTTCTCCTCCTCCTCCTCCTCCTCCTCCTCTCCGTTTTTCAAAAATATCCTATACTGAAAAGTCCCTCTTTCCTTCAGCCTTCGGTGTTCTCTGACTTTTTCCAACGCTCCGTTTTCCTACCTGGCTCGTCTGTAAACCGCCAAAGATCCTAATTCTTTTAGCCTTAGTGGACGCCAGATTAAAACAAAGCCAAACAGGAGAACAAAATAACTCCGGGGAACCGGCCGACTTGCCCCGAAAGAGACCGCCAGTGATCCAATGCAGACTCGGGTTCCTAAGCGCGTGTCTTTCCCCAGTCCATCTTTGCGAGAGATGTGGCAATACCACCTGGCTGTTCAGCTATAAATCTCCTTGCAAATAATAAATGGATTAATAATAACAAGGTATGAAGTTCTTTTTATAGAAAAAAATGGGAGAGAATTGAAACTAAATGCGGCAGTTAGACAACCATTTTGATAAGAGGATAATTGAGGCGACACTGGTGTATAATTAGAGGATAATTTATGCTATATCCACTTTTATTTCACCTCCCAAAATAAACCCAGTCCATAATCATTACAGGCAAATTGTTCTGAATTTTATAGCTGCAATTTGAACAAAGTAGTGCAGTTAATCATGGGAGATTTTCCCCCTCTTTTTTGTGTGTGTATTCCTGATTAGAAGTCTAATTGCCTCCTTTCGGAAAGTAAAAATAACTGCGAAGTGACTCTATTTTTATCATTAACAATGTTGACAATAAAATAAAATCAACTGGAATTGTAATCGAAAGGCAAACTTAGGGCGAAGGCACTTTTCCTCGGGTAGTTTATATTGCAATCAAGATTTGCCAAACCACTAACCGCATGTCTCATTTGCATATATTTGAAAGTATTACAGGAGCTTCTGTTTTCAATAGGGGGAAAATGTATTACTGGCAGATCTCTAAGGATTCGCCTTCGGATCAGGATGCTTAAATATAAACGCTATTGTGTAGATGAAGGAGAATCCTCCAATATTTGAGGTCCTTTTTATTGAACGCTTCCCCTGACGACTTGTTCTGGAAATGCTCTACTTTACGTTATCAGCTTTGTACAAAATTGGGGCTACCACAGTGCAATGGCCACATTAATCGCATAAGGGTGATTGTGCTTTGATTCTGGAAAGGACGTGTTACGCTATTGCGGGTTGTAATGCACACGCATAAGGTGAGGTATAATGGAATGGCAGAGTGATACCTCAGTATGGAAGTGTACCTGTACACAGATATACTCAGGCGTACATATGGAAGGGCAAACCGTGGTATATTTACTGAATAGGCACCTGATTTTCCAGGCGAGAGTGCTGTTTGAAAGCGCAGCTTTGTTGCGGTGGTGGTGCGGTGAAACAGCCACACACGCGCACGCACGCACGCGCAGACATACACGGACGCGCGCGCGCGTAGGCACACAAAAACACACACAGAGACAGAAAAACAGACTATTGGTTGGTTGGCTGGCTAGTTGGCTGGCTGCTTCTAGCTGGCTCCAAGCTTTGAAGTTGTGCAGAAGGTGGGCTGGCGCAGACGCCAGTAGAAGTGCCCGGGCTTGGTGACGTCAGGGGTTGAGTGACCAATGAGGAGCCGCTGCCCTTTGGAGACAAACCATTCGACTTGGGCGTTTATTTATTTATTTATTTGGAGGGTGTGTGCGCTCGAGCGCGCGCGCATGTTGTATTCCGTTTCCCCTCCCTCGTTTTCTTGTCTGAAGCCTATAAGCTGAAGCTCAACTTTAAGAGAATAAATCTACCTTAAAAAAGAAGAAAGAAAAGAAAAGAAATGCCTTAAACTCCATCAGCTTTAAGCAGACACCCGGATTCATGAGCGTAAAAACAGACCCCCAAACCGGAAAAGAACAAGGGCGAAAGAGGGAAGAGAGAAGGGGGAAAAAAAACCCAAGTTTCTGGCTAGAGGGCAAGAGAAGAGAGGGGGGAGGCCCAGGGAAGAGGACTTGGCAGTTCGTCCCTCTCTTCCTGCCCCCTCCTTCCTTGGTTCCCTTCCTCTCCCTCTCCTTCTCTCTCTCCCTCCCCAGCGCCTCGCGCACGCCTCCCCTCCGCCCCTCCCTCAGTTAACAAGGCCCCTCTCCCCCTATTGCTCTCGCACGCTCTCTCCTTTCTCCCACCTCAACTCCCCCCCCCAAGATACACACACTCGCCAAAAGGGGGGGAGAAGGGGAAAAAAGGAGGGAAAGGGGGGGAAATATAGCGAGCGAGCCCCGGCGCTAATTCCCGCCCGGCGCAGGCTAATAGGCTCCCTCGAAGGTGGCGGGAGCGCAAGGGGGCGCCGAGCCGGGCAGAGGCGCTCGTCTCTGGCTGCCCAACTTGGATGATGACCATGACTACGATGGCTGACGGGCTGGAAGCGCAGGACTCGTCCAAATCTGCTTTCATGGAGTTCGGGCAGCAGCAGCCGCCACCGCCGCCGGCGCCTCAACAGCCTCCCCAACCGCCGCCGCCGCCGCCGCCGCCGCCTCCAGTGGCACAGGCGCCCGGCGGCTCCTCACATTCAGCGCAGCAGCAGCAGCAGCAGCAGCAGCAGCAGCAGACCTCGCCGGCGGCGGCCATGGCGGGCGCCCACTACCCGCTCCATTGCCTGCACTCGGCGGCGCCGGCCTCGCATTCGCACCCGCACCACCAGCACCCGCACCCGCACCACCACCACCACCACCATCACCACCACGCCGCGCCTTACCCGGCCGGGCCGGCCGGCGCCAACTCCTATAGTCACCGTTCGCTTGCCGCGGCTGCCGCCGCGGCCGCCGCCGCCTACCCTTATGTGAGCCACTCGCAGCACAGCCCTTACCTCCAGTCCTACCACGGCGGCGGCGGCGGGAACGGCGGAGGAAACGGCGGCGGGAACGGCGGCGGCGCGGGCAGCCAGACGCGGCCGGACGACGCAGGTGGGTGACCCAGACGCGCGCGCGGATCCCAGCCAAGGCCCTCCGCGCCTCCGCCGTCTGCCCGATGTGGTTGGCCTTCCTTCCTTCCTTCCTTCCTTCCTTCCCTTTGTCCCTTTGTCCCTTTTTCCTTCCTTCCTTTCTTCTTTCTGTCTGTTCCTCCCTCTTTCTGGCTCTTCGATTCCTTCCTTCAGCTTTCTTTTGGCCTGTAATGCGTTTTCTTCTGGCTTCCCTCTTTTGCACTCTGCCTGGCCGCTTTCTTTTCACTCGTCTCCCCCTCCGCTTCGTTCCGAGGCACGTTTCCTGGCAAGTGACCACCCAGGCAATGCACAGGACCTGGCTTCTAATTCCACCGTTTGTGGACGAAGATGCCCGGCTCCCCGCACCCTCTTTCGCGCTGCAGGTCTCTTTGAAATGATATTTTCTCTGCCCGATCCGGAGCCTGTTTCTCAGGGAAAGGAGTCGCAAGCAGTTCAGTGGAACTTACTCTACTCTTAAGTAAGTGTGCTTGCCATTTGCAGCTCCCCCTCCCACTATCCTGACTTCTTTTCTTGCACCAACACGACCCAAATCGGCAGCTGCGTGACGTTCTTTAGATCCACACGAGTGCTATAAGAGAACCGGAATTCCGGTGTTCTTGAGAATGTTCAAGCATTTGGGGTTTTTTTTTTTTCCCCGTGGGTTTGACAAGCATTGCCATGCACTTGAACGCTCTCAAATGGACTGTGGAGTGCAATTGTATTCCTACAGACCATTCTCTAGAACCAGACTGACCCTCCGCAGTTCAGAATTGTAACTTGTTTGTTTGGGTTTTCATTATTATTTTTTTAAATGAATGTTTGTTTAGCCCATGGGTGCCCTTTCGGTGCGGCGGCCTGTACAGCAGAATTATTTTAGAGAGAGCAATTGGCCCTTTGCTTTCTCCTACAATGATGGGCACAAAAGTGACAGGCTCTCTATGAAAAGTAATTCTTCCTCAGCCAAAGGCAGATGGGCCACAACAGTTCCAGGAAAGAAGGAAGGAAGGAAGGAAGGAAGGAAGGAAGGAAGGAAGGAAGGGGAAGGTAGATAGGTAGGTAGGTAGGAAGGAAGAAAAGAAGGAAGGAAGGAAAAGAAAGGTAGGAAGGAAGGAAGGAAGGTAGGTAGGTAGGTAGGTAGGTAGATAGGAAGGAAGGAAGGAAGGAAAAGGAAAGGAGAAAGGTAGGTAGATAGGTAGGTAGGAAGGAAGGAAGGAAGGAAGGAAGGAAGGAAAGAAGGAAGGAAGGAAAGAAGGAAGGAAGGAAGGAAGGAAGGAAGGAAGGAAGGAGGATTACAGAGCATAGGACACAAATGACTTCAGTGTCCTCTTAGGTGCTTGTAACAGAGGGATGATGTGTCCCGAGCCTTGTAAAACCTGGTAAAATTTCAAATTATATATGAATTTTTATCCATCTGTCTAATCAGCTAATCTCTAATAAATATTTTAACACACCAATAAGTGACTAAATCAGCAATAGTGTCAACATGAAAAGGTTTTTTTTCCTATATTTGACTGTGGTTATCTGTCTGTCCAAACACTTATTGTAATTTCTCTGCATTTATTCACTGAGAGAGAAATAAATTAACTTGCATTTGTATAAAGTGAGGATAACCATATTAAAGGAAATGTTCGGATAATATGTGTTTATTTCTGTTAATTCAAAATAAAAGATGTGGTTTAGAGGGGTATTTAGATAAACATAGTAATTATAAACTAATATAAAATGGGTGTTTCACTAAAATTATTTTCCTGTTGCAGTTTTTGAATGAAGATTTCTGGATTGTTCCCACAAGTAGCAGTATTTATTTACTTGAGGGGAAAAATCTCCATGCATCATTAATTAATACGTTTTTGCCTGCAGAAATATAAGGAAAGTCAGTAGGGTCATTTTGCAGGTAAAACTGAATCCACCACTAAAAAGGGCATTGATGATCTGCTTGCCTTATTTACCTGCCCTCCCCCTAATGCTTCTAGAGTTTTAGCAATGATATTGGGGCAGTTTTATCATTAGATAAACTCCCAACATGAACAACACCCTAAGTTAGGCATGAGGTTTTTAGCTGCCCCTCTTCCTTTCCAATGCACTTTCCGTTTTGATTGCAGATCAACAAAAAACCACAGTGATTGAAAATGGGGAGATTCGATTTAATGGGAAAGGGAAAAAGATCCGGAAACCTCGAACCATTTACTCAAGTCTGCAGCTGCAGGCATTAAACCACCGCTTCCAGCAGACCCAATACCTGGCACTTCCAGAGAGAGCAGAGCTGGCGGCTTCATTAGGACTTACTCAGACACAGGTAATTCCTAGGAAAGACCAGGCCCAGGCAACCTTTAGGAGAGGAGATCAGGACTGACATGCCGGTGGTAGTAGCAATGAGATATTTTTTTTTTTTAAATGTATAATTTCCTTGGACTAAGAATAGGAACTGGAGAGCAGTGGATCACCTAAACATAATCTAAAGTGTATTGATAAGCTATCAGTTATCTGTATAGAGATATTTGGAAATCTAGATCTAGTTCATCTCGCTCTCTACTTTTCCTTTGCCTCTGATCAAGGCAAAAAATGTGTTTAGAAAAAGGCATGTCTGCCAACTCAGAATATGGGTATTTATCTATTTTATTATAGTCAAAATATCAACCATAAAAGAATCATATATATAAAATATATGATATTAGATGTAGGAAGAGTAGAACAGTCTCTCCATCCTAGTTTGATATAGTAGAAAGGTACTAGCTATGCTAAAGAACCTCTGGGCCCAAATAAAACACACCTACTTTAGTGATATTCAATAGTAAATTATCCTGGATGAGTAACTAGAATCCAGTGGGTGCCCTTAGGCTAAATGTACAAAAGGTGGTGATAAAGGCTGAGGATCAAAGGGAAGCGTGTACAAAATTAGAACAAGTTAAGCTACAGTTAAATGTGGTTGATGTGTTCTTGGTTTCTCTACAAATTTAAGCCTGAATGACACGTGGAGTATTATTGACTTGGAAGAGACAAATACAGCAATTAATTGTATTCCTGGATAGCAAGAAAAAAAAATTTTTTTTTTAAAGTTTTGGTGGCATTTGCATTTTGGGCAGGGGGGTGGGAGAACCAATCATATATGTGCTCAGGGCTTGTAGTTAAAAATGTAAGTAAAACAGAGAATAAATACAGAGAATTGAGATTCCATGTCTTAAGGTAATAAGCATGAACTTTGTGACCAGGGAAAACAGGAACTTGTATTCTGTCTTGCAGGCTGAAATGTACTAGAAAATTAATATTATAGAGAAAAGACGTATATTGTCAGTTTTACCCCTGGGAGTTCTTCCAACAGCTACCCCATTTGAATGACACACACTTTGCGATTGTCCATGTATTATATTCTTCTTTTAAAGTCTCTCTAACTTTTTTAGTTCCTCCCTTATCCCATATCTTAGATTTTTTTTTAACAGCGCTCAAATCAAGCCAGCGATCTCCACTTAAACTTCAAATCGGCTCATTTTTCTAGCCCTTTCCTGCTGACCACCAAAGGACCTGCTGCACGGGGGCTGTTTTTGATTCTCCTCCTTTTTTATAAGCCAAGCTGGATTTCCAACTATACTGACATATTTGTGATTTAAGCCAATTTAGGCCCCCTGAAGCCAGTCAGCTGCCAGAGTCATTTTAGAGCCTGATCTTAAAAGCTCTTTCAAGTCCAAGTGGCACCCCCTTCGTAAGCAGATTTATTCAGGAGTAGATCCAGCTGACCAGTGAAACCGCTGAGTATGTGTTTCTAGGACTGCACACTCATCCCACTGTAAGTGAAGAACCAGCTGCACCAGTCCAGGTGAAAGAGTCCGCTAAGGGCAGTTCCAGGTGCTGGAGGATGGGGATTTGAAATGGGAAGCCACTACAATATGAATCAAGATTGTAGATAATCACTTTTGTTGAATACAACAACCACCAAAAAAACCCTGAGCTTTCTGTCCCTTCTTCTCTTATTCAAAATGAGTGTTGCATGTTTTTAATTATGCAGCATAGTATACTGATGAATATCAAAGCTGTGCACGTCTATAGCTTATGTACCTACGTAGATGCTTTGAATGGATGCATAACAAAATAAGCAAGCAGAATAAGTGCACCGCTATGGTCTCATAGAAGAAAAAGGCCCTTAAAAATAAACGCAGTAAAATAAAATGTAATACTCAGTTACCTAAGGCTCCTTTGTTGCAGGTAACTGCAGTGATGAGAATGAAGGGAAGGGGTGGGGAGGGGAGGGGAGAGGGAGGGGGAGGGGAAGATATTGGACTTTATGATTCAGGGTAGCTGGGCTCTATTGCTCCAAATGTAAAGAAGGAAGGGAAGAAAGGAAATTTCAAACAGATTTTTCTTTGTTCTCTTCCCCCACCCCTGGCTGCTCTTAAGCTGCTGTTCTATAGGCATTTCGATGACTTTTGCCTTTTGGTTGCAGGTGAAAATCTGGTTCCAGAATAAGCGTTCCAAGTTTAAGAAACTGCTCAAGCAAGGTGGCAACCCTCACGAGACTGACCCCCTGCCCGGCTCTGCTACCCTCTCACCACGGTCTCCAGGTCTCCCTCCAGTCTGGGATGTTTCAGCCTCTGCCAAAGGAGTCAACATGCCTCCCAACAGCTACATGCCTGGCTATTCTCACTGGTACTCTTCCCCACATCAAGACACTATGCAGAGACCACAAATGATGTGAACGGTCCAAGAACAACTGCTGGGCTTGGCCAGCTCGTGGGTCTTGGGGTGAATTGGGAGCGCGTGGCAACGAAGACGGACTCTTCTGCCTTCCCCTCGCCTTTAACCTCAGTAATTGATCTTGAGCAGAGAGAAACCATTTGCGTCGCACCCACGTCAGATGCTCTCTTTGGGATATTTTGTTGGGGATTCAAAGGCACCAAGCCTCATTGGGAGTACAAGTCAGAGCAAAAAAAAAAAAACAATTGCAGCCTTTCCCCACTAGTCCACCGCGCAGCAACTTAAAAAAAGATCCTGTGGAATGAAAAAAAAGCTAACAAAGCTACCCTAGTTTTATTCACCAAACCCAGATTAACAAAACAAAATGGACAGCGGGAAGATTTTTTTTTTTTCTTTAGAAAGAAGGAACTGCCATCCAGGGAAGAAGATGCGGGGGTGAGGAGAGGGGAAAAATCTGGTTTAATAAGAATATTTTATACCTCCCCCACACCCACACCCACACATCGGCACAATCGTGAATCTTGATCGGAACTCGTAGTCTTTTCTTTCCCAATCTCTCTGGGGGGGGGACACAAACATCTTTTCCCCCTCCTATAATCAATAAGCCACTCTAAACGAATTAAAGCACCTGAAAATGACCAGAAGGTCCCTTGCGCATGCCCCATTGCAGCCAACTAGAGCTCTGCATTTGCGCCAACTTTATTTATTCTAAGGGGGCTTCCAGAAGGGATTCTTTCCAATGGATTTCGCGGGGGGGGGGAGGGGAGGAAGGGAGGAAGAATCTGGGAAAGTAACAAACATTTTCCCTGTCCAAAGGCTAAAATTCCGACCACCATCCTCTCCCCATAAACTTTGAGTTGTTTTTCAGCTGCCGACAGTCACGATGTACATACTGTTGAATTTTAGTTGTATATATATCTTTGTATGTTTTGTCTCCTTCTTTCATATATAGAGTAAAAAGCCACAAAATGTGCAAGAGTCCTGCTTTAGTTCTGTGCGTTGACAAGTTTCTTTATCTTTCCGCTTCCCACACTCCCGGTTATTCAGATAGCCAAAGATTACAATCTGTCACACACACACACACACACTGTCCCACTCCCGTTTCCGAGGCATATCAAGAAGGGTTCTTTATGACTCCTTCTACTGGAGCTTTTACTCTTCCGGGGTAGCCTATCCAAGGCTGCAGCTTCTCAGTCCACATCCTCGGCGGCCTGGCTTAGCTGGAGTTCTCCAGAGTAGGAAAGTTTTGCATACCTCCCCAGGACCAGAACAGCACCAGAAGAGCCCAGTCTAAGGGACGAGGAGGTCTCTTTGGAAGTCTTCCCCCCTCCCCAGCAGGTGCCGGCCAGTGGCGAGGCAGATACACACACGCCCACCCTCGCACAAATCAGTCATAAAACCGTGTCTCTTTAGGGACCGCCCGATCTTCCTTATCTGCCCACTCTAAGATTATTTCCTATAGGAAGCCTGTCTGAATCCACCAAGGGTGGATAACAGCCTCCCAATCCAGATTATCTTTCAGGTGAGCCTCGGGTTGGAGCGAATTGTCTCCCAGTAAGCCACCTAGGGTCGCGTGCATTTGTCGATATTAGGGCTACCCGTCTCAGGATTTTCGGTAATTCTACCTTGTTCCCCCCCCCTCTTCTGCCCCCACCCAAATTCGCACGCCAAGGTCTCCTGCTTTGATGAGCAGAGGGGTGGCCTTGTGGCCGGTCGTTCCTCGGGCAGGCAGCTATAGCTGCCTCCGGTTCCTCGGGTCTGTCAGAGCGCTCCCGGCTTCTCCAGGCTAGGGCTGCCGCGAATGATATCCTTGCGAGGTGGTGCCAAAGCGAGAAACCATCCATCATGAAAAGCCCCTTTCGTCACACAAGCAGGATGCCCCATACTGAGAGAATTAATGGCTAGAGCCCTGGGCATCCTTCAAATTATGAACCTTGAAACCACTGAGCCATTTATCAGAAGTCAATGGAGATTCTCGGAGTGCTGAATATAATGACAGCTACATACAGTTGTGCAAAAGGACAGTCACTATAATTAGACACAAAAGCCAAGACTACTTACCAATATACCAGCGCCGGTTTTTTGTTGAGTAACTTCCACGCTCAGTCAGTCTTCAGAATGGCTTAAAACCGATCAAGTCTTGTCATTTTCTACCATTCGCATTGTTACATTTGGAGGGGGGAAAATGTTTTTCTTTTCTTTTTTTTCTCCCCCTCCCCATGCCTACTGTGAAACTTTGGGTTCAGCTCTCCCCAGGATCAATTGTGAACAAAGCCCCCAGCTGCAGTGCCATCCAATTTGAAGCAGACATTGGGGACAATTTAAGGTTTTTATCCATAAGAAGGTTTTTTCCCCCATTCTCTTAAATGCAGCCATAATTAGAGTAATTTTTCATGTAGCCCGCTGATTACAGCGTTTTTACCGTCAAAGATAATTACCTGTAATTTTCTTCCACTTTTAATACTAAAAAGCCATCTTTATTTAGATTCAGGAACAGGAAAGGCGAAACAAAAGAGGGAAATTATTCTGTTATTCATACACAAATTGCAGAGACATAGGACCTAAAATTGAAAATTAACCAAAATTATAATGCTGGGAAGAATGGAAGAGAATTCTGAGGTACAGCTGGTTGTGGGGTTCACTGACTGGTTCTGATTTGTGTTAGGGGGCAAAAGCTATTGAGCATTTAAATCAAGGGTATCCAGGCCTGTCATAGATGAGTCAGTTATCCCTCCGTCCCCCAAGTTTTCCTGATGAAGAATAATCTTGGAAACCAGATGAGCCACAGGGAAAACGGGGAAGCAAAGCCAAGGAAGAGCACGCTGCCTCTGCGGTGGATAGGCCTCAGCACTAAATAAATATAACTTATGGGATCAAGGTGTGATGCAAGACGCAAATCTCATGCCAGTGAAATTAGGAAACCATTCCCTGCAAAGAATTATAGTGCTTTGCACCTTGGCCTTTCATCAGTTTCATGCAATGTTGTCGGTTTCTTTCACCTCAGCTGATTTCTGGTTGATCCACCCAACCACGAGTAAATCCCCCCTTTCACACACACCCCAGCCCTACCACACGCCACTCCACTGTCAAAAGCAGCCCATTTCTTCCAAATCAGAAGGGGCTATTCTGGGGAACATATCAGGCTAGCTCATTTAAATCAGTGGAACCAGTCAAAAGCTCCCATTTTTGCCCCATTGGGGCGGAAATAAAGGGAAAAGATGTGCACCTTTCCTCTGCCTCTGCTCCCCACCCGGCTAAATCTCTTTAGAAGCGGGGAGTGGACAATAGAATTTGCTTCTCATATTATAAAAGGGCTGTTAGGTCAGCAGGAGCGGATACAAGACATTCTGCATTGGGCCTTTGACAGCAAGAGTTTAGTGAGGTTCATATTCTAGCCATCAAGCGGATTTCCAGACTGCCACTCCGGGAGAGCCAGAGAGAGAGAGAGAGAGAGAGAGAGAGAGACAAACAGAGAGAGAGAGAGAGAGAGAGAGAGAGAGAGAGAGAGAGAGAGAGAGAGAGAGAGAGAGAGAGAGAGAGAGAGAGAGAGAGAGAGAGAGAGAGAGAGAGAGAGAGAGAGAGAGAGAGAGAGAGAGAGAGAGAGAGAGAGGGATCCATTAAAGGGACATCCGCAGGCAGAGTAGGGCAAACCTGCCATGGGAGTAGAACATAAGACTTCTCAAGAACAGATTTTGTCTTGCTGTCCATCAGCAGCTTCTTTATATCCCACTCTGGCCTCCTCCCTATTCGTTGAAGCCTCTCTCACTTGAATCCGGAATCAGGGCCCTCTCTAAATCCAGAATTTTTCTGAATAGGGAAGAACTTCGTGAAGAAGGTTGAGTGAGAGACTTTTGCCGCTTGAGAGCGGCGGCGGCGGCGGCGGCGGCGGCGGGGGGGGGGGGAAGGAGGGGAGAAATTGGGTCTTCCATTGAAACCGAAGGCAAAATGCCTTGGAGAATCCGGGTCGCTCTTGCATATCAATTGTTCCTCAAAAGCATTCAATAAATCTCTTCTGAAATCGGGAATAGGGAGAGCGGGAGAGAAAGGTGAGCCTGGACTACTGAATTTGTCCAAGCCAGATTCACCGACCGCAAAACAAAACAAAACAACAACAAAAAACTTCTGCATTCTGTTGAAATTTGTTTTAGCAACCCGGTTGTCTGCCACCTGGCCCGATGGCCTCCTCCATAAGAAGCGGCCTTTAACTTTCGTCTAACAGCGGAGAAAAGGTTTGGGCCAGGGGAACAATACAAGCAAAAGGCTGCTGGAATAAGTGGCAATGACTTCCCACTCAGAAGTCTCGAACAAGGAATAGAAAGGAAATGGGGTTTAAGAAGAGGAATCGGGATTTCAGCATCTTCAAAGCATCTGAGTGGGTGGGGAGGGGGGGGAGCAGGAGAGAATTATAATTGAGAATTTAAGAACTAAAAAGAGGATCCGGAATGACAGCTCGCTCCTCTTTCAACACACACCCCCCCCCCCCCTCTCTAAGCACATTTGGCTGGGAGAAAAATCCCAGTGGCATTTACAGCCAGATATTAAGGATGCGTAAAAAAAAAAAAAAAAAAGCAGTAGGATTTATACCTTAAATAAATTCGCAGAGCATTGAAGCTATGAGAAAGCTGTAAACATGCTCCACACGCGCGCACGCGCGCGTGCACACACACACACACACACACACACACACACACACACCGGCTCTCGGCGGATTCGATCTTTTACAGTGGGGCTACTCAGGACTGGGATTGGCAATGCCGACCAGGAATATAAACCTTCATAAAACTGGAAGTGAAGAAGTAGCTCCTGAGAAAACGACCTGCCTTGCTTACTGAAATCACAGCGGTTTCTTCCTTTCCGTTTTGAGGCGCCTTCTTCCTCTCCCCAATACTCGTCTTCCCTTTCCCCCCCCCCCCCCCCTAATCCATATGGTTGCGCTGGCGGGAATGAACCAGGATTTACTCAATTAACCCAATTGCCTGCATTCGCACGACCCGCTGAACCATCAACTCACCACGCAGGCTGGCCCTAGACTCAAATGTGGTTGGCTGGTTCGGGCTTCAATGGGTCGTGGGAACACAGCCACTCGTTCTGAACACACCCACGTGAATCGTGGAGCTCGCATTGTCGAGTCAGCGGAGCGGCCGGCGTAAGGCTGCCTTCCGGAGGCACCCAGCTTGACCTCGTAAAGTCCCAACCAGGGGAGAAGGCGGGCGGGCAA